AGGGATTGAAATGGCATCATACTCAACAGCAAAATGGAAAAGACAATTGGAAGGTAAAATGTGAGCTAGAATTTTTGATTCCCTGTCAAATGTTTAGGGCAAAATAATAGCATTTTCAGAAACTGAAGATCTTCTAAAAGTGTTATCACCTATGCTCTGCTTTCTAAGTAAACTACTAAGAAATTATTTCCACCAAAACAAGGGAGGAGATGAAGAAAGAAAGGCATAGGGTCCATAAGAGAGAGAATCGCATACAGATTTATTTAAAGTGGAGCAGGAAAGCAGAGGGCTCCAGGAGAGACATCTTCAGGTCAGTAAACACAGGGTAGAGTCCTGAAGGCTTCCTTCCTCATTGTTTAATCACCTGGTAGATTGATTCAAGGGGATTTTGCCGTTCTTTTGGAGGATCTGGGGATAATTAATGAGAGACTAGAAAATTAAGTTTAAAAGAGGGACGGCATCACTAATTTCAGAAAAATCAAAAGATTATACAAGAAAGATAAAACTATAATATACTTCTCAACTCACTGAATTATAATTCCAAAGTCATAATAACTTAAATGCTAAATGTAAAATTTATCCCCAGACTGTGGTCTAACAATACTGAGAACATGGAGTAGCTGGTATAACAGTGCCGAGTCCTCCTCTTCCGTAATAGGAAGTCAGTATAATGCCTCCAATCAGGAAATAGCAGTATAGGCTTCCCCCCACCCCCCGCAGAAATGTGGAGACACAGAAAGAGGCAAACAGCTAGAAGAGCTGAAAGAACTTGCCTCTGGGAAGGATAACTTGGAGCAGAGGAGTACTTCAGTTTTTATTATAAGCATTGTGATACTGTTTTACTTTTTAAACTGTGTGTTTGTATGAGTTAAAATTGAAAACATACATAGAAAATGGGAAATTCTTTGTGATTAGGCAATGAAAATAAAATCTCAGTCATAAGCATAAGGTGAAAATATTGCTGGACTCTATTACATCACAATTAAAGATGCTTGTCCAGTGAAAGCTTTGTTAATGGGGATTAATAGGTGGTGCCTCTTAGTGAAAGATATTTGCAATGTTTAACACCAATAAGGGATTAATTTCTGGAATATTAAGAAACTCTTACAACTCTATATGGAAAAGATTAGAAATCCAGTTGAAAAACTGGCAGATGACATGAATAAGTAATTCCCAGAAAACGAAATCCTAATGGTCAACAAGCATGTGAAGAAATGTCCAACCTCATTAGTAAAAAATGAATAATTTAAAAATTATCACTTTATACTCACCAGATTGTCAAAAATTAAGTAAGGTAACATCAAGGACATGAAGAAACAGGCAGCTTCACACACACGTAGTGGAAGTATAAACAGATACAGCCATTCTGGAGAGCAACATGGCATTGTGGAGTGGACAGACATTTATTGCTACAAAGGGTACCAGGGAGTTGGAAATGGGGGAAAGATGGGTAACATGTGGCTGATGTGTGGTCCTGGGTACTCACATACCCTAGAAACACACTCAAACTATCTAATTTACAGGGATATATACATACCCAAGGACCTGTATAAATCCTGTTAGACTGGGTGCCAGATCTCATGAGGAAGGGTGGAGAGTGAATCATCAGGGATGAATGGAAAAAGCAGTAAGACAAAATAAAACCAGAGTGGGGCCTCCACCAAGCTCTGTGATGATATTTCATGGACTAAATATTAACTCAGTTTTGTGTACCTAAGTTTCCTCCCCAAAAATAAAATTTACTTCATGTTTTTTAAAAGATGGAATGAAATTACAGGGATGCCTGGGCAGTTAAGCATCTGCCTTCAACTCAGGTCATGATCTCAGGGTCTTGGGATTGAGCCCCTTGTCGGGCTCTCTGCTCAGCAGGAGCCTTTTTCTCCCTCTCCCTGCTGCTTCTCCTGCTTCTACTCTCTGTCTCTCTCTGTCGAATAAATAAAATCTTAAAAAAAAAAATAAAAACCTTTAAAAACATCTTAAAAAGATGGAGTGAATCTACAATTATATCAAAATAATTGAAAGTTTAAAAGAAAAAGCATTTCTAAAAATTTATTTTAAAAGAAAGGTTTGTATGAGGTAGAGACTTCTTGTCATTTATCAGTGGTAGAATTCTTGTTATCAACAGTGAGGTTTTAAGCTTTTACCAGGGGTCGTAATTGGTTCTGCTGTGTTCTCACAGCTTCTGTTAAAGACCTTTTACCTTCTCCAGTGATAGCTTGAAGTCCACAACACAGACAAAATTAGAATAGAGAAGAGCCCTTCTTTCTGTCCACCTCTTTAAATGTTGAGTTTATAGTTAATTCTCAGTTTACTCCAAACTGTCACATAATCTAAAACTCTAATTTGGGTCCATGCTTTAGGTTTAATGCTTCTTTTCCTAGACTTTTCTTCTTCTTCTTTTTCTCCTCCTCAAACTACCCTTGGGGGAAGTATTAGAAACCAAATACTGACCCGGAGGCAGAAAGGGGATCTTAGAAAAGTCAGAAGCCAGGTAATCTGGACCCTAGGAGTGGATCCAAGTATCTTTCTGTTACTGTTCCTCTCTCCTACACCAAAAACAAATCCAAAATCCTACAGTGTTTTGCCTAGAGGTCAGTGCCATCAGAATCATGATCTTTAATTATGTTCTATTTTATACTGTCCTTTGTTGACATCAGCGAAACATGGACCCCTTACTCTTTAGTAGTACCTCCCACCCCCTCCCACAGTTTAATCAGCACCTACCAGTTGGTTGGTTGGTCAGTTAAATCATGCTCTGCAAAAGCATTTTTCTTTCCCAGCATACTCAGTTAAAATTATGACATCCTGAGTAGATCTCTGGGAGGGAATAAAAGTATATAATACGTTTTGTCAACAGTTTCTTGGGTATTGTCAAGAATTACTGTTAATGTTTGTTGTGGCTACCGTTATTATTACTGATATTCCAGACCTGTCAGTTATCCCTTAGAAGAAAGAAGGAAGTTACCTCCCTTAAGCAGTTGATCAGTTCTCTTGTTGTGATAAAAGCCTCCAGAGCAAATCAGTAAACTAACTTTGCATCTTTTGCCATAATTTTGAACAATTGAAAAAATGCTAAAAAATTTACCCTGAATAGTCCTCAAAGAGCAAAAAATAAGAGTAAAATTTGGTACACAAGAGAAATACTGAGCAAGATTTTATATGATATTAACAAATTAGGTACTTGTATTTTTATCACAGGCATGGAGGCCCCTAGTCTTGACCTAACCATGCCTTGTGTAGTTTTGGGGTTTTTTTTAGGAGCATATTCTACATGTTTCTAAATGATCAAACTCTGAGAGATGGAAGAATCAGACAGACGTGGGGTAGAATTTTAACTCCACAATGAATTGTATATCCATGAGTAACTGAGTCTCATCTCCTTTATCTACATGAGGAAATATTACCTGTCTTTACAGGGGTATTGCCTCCATTAAATGAGATGATGCATGTGGAGTACTGGCACAATGTCCCCTTGTTGGTCAGGGCTCAGGCCATACGGGAGCAATTTTACAGTTAGTCTGAGGGTGGTCTCCGTTCTAGATGCGGTAGAGTCAGATCCTAGTGCTGCTTTGAAGCTTTTGTGGGGTATAAATCATATATCCCAATTGAGAAGAGCAGAATTTATTTTTAACTTAAATTTTAAAGCTTTGAATAGTCCCTTTAGTTTTTTTTTTAAGATTTTATTTATTTTGGCGGGGGGCAAAGGGAGAGGGAGAGAATCTCAAGCAGACTCCATGCTGAGTGCAGAGCCTGACGTGGGGCTCAGTCTCACGACCCTGAGATCATGAGCTGAGCCAAAATCAAGAGTCAGATGCTTAATTGACTGAGCCACCCAGGGACCCCTGAACAGTCCTTTTAGCTTTTTATTATAAGTTAGTCTCAACTAAAATACTACTAGTACTAGCAGAGTCGCGCAGCGGAAGCGTGCTGGGCCCATAAAATACTACTAGTACTTCATAACAGCATGTCATCAGAATTCACATATTATTGGAATAGAATAGAGTTCTTACTAGTTTAAATCAATCACACATATAAAATAAGTAATTAGCCAAATTTGTTTTCAAAAGTAACTATGTTCTGAATGCTTACTCTGTCAGCACTGTTCGAAAGGCTTTTTTTATGTTCACATACTCATTTAACCACCCCATGAAGTAGATACTATTATTCATCCTATTTTATAGAAAGAGGAAAGTAAGACACAGAGAAGTTAAGTAATTTGTCCCTAGGCTCACACAGTGGAGTAGAAGAACAGTTAATACAATTCATTTATTATTAAAACAGTCTAAGAGTTAATTTGGAAAGGAGAGGATATCCTGGAGAGCTGCAGTCTACATGGACTTACCACCAGATAGGACAGACTCTTAAGACTTAGAGAACTTTACTGGGTTTGCAACAAGAAGTTTCAGGCTGCCATCTGTCTCTAGAATAATACGGGTGTATGTTTGTCTAGTCAAGGGTAATACCACCTGCTTCCATAGGAGGAAACAGATTCATTAAGCATATTCTTTGTTCTTGGTCCCAGAAAATAAAATTACTTGATTTATAGCCAGGACAAGAATTTTCAGTTACTCTTTGTTCTTCCTAAGAAGGTATAAAAGCATATTAAATTTCTCTATTTGTAGAGGTACAAATATGTAGCAGTTCACTTAACTCTTTGCTGAAGAATAATTTGAAGAATTTCTAAAAATCCTGAATCAAAATCTGTGAGCAAAAATAAAAAGCTATAGTTCATAACTTCTCAAACGGCATTCAAGAGCAATTAATTACCATATAACTTCTTACATTATTTTTAGCTTAACCTAGCTCTATAATGCCTAATAAAAATATGCAAAGAGCATAAATTACAGAAAGATGTGAGAAATGAAAATAATTCATTCCACTTCTATTTAGAAAACATCCTAGTAGATCGTGTGGCACCCAGAGATTTACATTACAGAAATCCTTTAAATAATTGATGTTTTTAATCATTGGTGTATGTTTTTTGTCCCTTTGTTTTGCAGCGCAAGACCCATCAGTTTTTTGTCAAATCTTTCACTGCCCCTACCAGATGTCACCAGTGCACCTCTCTGATGGTGGGTTTGATAAGACAGGGCTGTTCCTGTGAAGGTAAGAACAAAATGGCAGGAGAGTGTGACGTTAGAGTCCTAGCGTTGGCTCCCTAACTGTAATCACATAGCTGTATTCCCCTTAAACAATATATAAGTGCTTGTTCTGCTTTTTTCTGATAACAGGAGTACAGATAATAAAGCAAGCACCTAGCTACATGTTGAACAGGGGAGAAGCTAGACGGCCCTTAGAAACATTTTTCAGGGGAGACCTCTGTCAGTGCGGCTCATTCATCTTTGTTTCATTATTCGGGTGAATTTGTGGTTCTGGGAAAGCATTAAGCTGAGCGACAGAAGACATAAAAGTTATTCTTGAATCTGTTCATTTAACTTTCACCTTGCTTAATTTCTCTAATAAGAGAAATCATTCTTCAGAAGTAGGCAGTTCAGTATCTTTTCAGAAATATTAAGTGTCTGCCACTTTGCCTCAGAAAGATATTTTATTCCCAGTATTCATATCAGCGGATTTTCCCTACCGCTCATTGACTCATTGATTCATCCATCGTGTGTTCATGGAATGCCTGTCCTGTACTTCTAGACACCGTGATGTAGTCGGGGATGGGGAGAAGGCTGAGAGCCTGCCCTCAAGGAGCTCACATTCTGAGAGATGAGAGATCAGGGGTCATTTGAACAGAAAACAAAGTATATTTGTCTGGGCACTACTTTATTTTTCCTAAGGCTTCTGAAATGAAAATGACTTAAATAATTATAATGGGATACACTGTTTGGGAATAGTTTGGGAATATGCTTTTTTTAATCAAATGAAATTTATCACTGTAACAATACCTTATGTATCATTTACTGATCTATCTTATGAGAAAGATAAAATAGTTGCTAGTTCAAATTCTAATATGAGTTTCCATTTCTTAGCCTTTAGGGTTGGAAGGGACTTTGCAGGGAAGGTCATCAGTGCACATCAGAAGCAGGCGTTCCCCTTGTAGAATGTGCTTGTAATTTGTATTTGGTCGCTTTGAATCAAGGGGCTGTTAATGGCATCTTAAGGCAGTGCATTCTATGTCTGATTAGCTCTCACAGCCAAAGTAAAAGCCCCAGATTGCATCGTCTCAGCTAGTCGTGTAGATGCATGGGTTTAGAGCCAAAGCAAATGGTCTAGGGTTGAAAAGTAGATTTGAGAGTTATGAGCATACAGAGTGATGAAGGGGAATGGCGTTTTCCAGGAAACACGCAGAGTGAAAAGAGAGCAAGTATGAGGACAGAGCCTTAGGAAACAGCTCAGGGGAGGTGAAAGGTAAAGACAGCAAAGTAATCTGAAAAAGGAACAGCCTGTGTCATTTACCGGGAAGGTGTGATGGAAGCCAAAGGAGAGAATTTGTACAGTTTTTAAGCCTTGTCCCATTTTGGATTTAGCCAGCTTATAAGTGTCACTTTTAGGGGCGTCTGGATGGCTCAATCGGTTAAGCATCCGACTCTTGGTTTTTGGCTCAGGGTCCTGGGATCAAGCCCTGCATCGGGCTCCATGCTCAGTGGGGAGTCTGCTTCAGGATTCTCTCTCTCCCTCTGCGCCTCCCCCAGCTCTCTCTGTCTCTAAAATAAATAAATCTTTAAAAGAATAAAATACAAATAAAAATAAATGTCATTTTAAAATCTGTTTATCAGAAAGAATCCTGGATAGCTTCCTGGTGTTAGGTCCCTTATCATTTCTTATGCATCAGAATCATTTGCAATTACATGGTAGGGGTTTTTGAGATCTCCTCAACCCCCTTCTAGAGTCTGACATCATGAAATTGTGCGTTTCTTTCCTGAAGACCCTTTTCCTTTTTTAAAGTTTTTTTTTTTAAGATTTTATTTATTTATTTGATAGAGGGAGACACAGCAAGAGAGGGAACACAAGCAGGGGGAGGGGGAAAGGGAGAAGCAGGCTTCCCATGGAGCAGGGAGCCTGATGCAGGGCTCGATCTCAGGACCTGGGACCATGACCTGAGCCGAAGGCAGATGCCCAACGACTGAGCCACCCAGGCACCCCTTTCCTGAAGACCCTTAGTACCCTGCCCTGTATACTGTGGGGACACAGACCTTTCATAAGGTCTTTCATAAATGTTATGGTAATGTGGTTACAGCCTCCAAAGATTCCTATCATTTTAATTTCTTCCTGGTTGATTGAAGTTAGATCCTGTATAGGACAATTATTTTGTTGCTTCCTCTGCTGTTTGGAGGTGAGATTTTTGCCTAATTAGTAAAACAAATTATAACTTGTTAGACACTCTACTTAAAAGTGAACAAGATGTCTTATAGAAGTTTGGTAGTTTTGACAGTCAGTACTAGTTCATCTTGCCCCTCTGGTGGTTTCATAATGCCTATCAGTGGTGTATCATACATTTTCCTGTGTGCATGCATTCCCTGATGGTATCCCTTCAGGCCCTCTCTTAATCTTTCCCAAATATTCTCCAGGACTGACCCTTAGAGTAGAAATTGTCTAAATGGATATCCTTAGTTTGCAGCCCCTTCCAACAAGTTTGTTTGTTTTAAATATTTTAACTTTCTTTTAAAGATTTTATTTATTTATTTTAGAGAGAGAGAGAGTGAGTGGAGGGAGGGACAGAGGGTGAGAGAGAATCTCAAGCAGACTCCCTGCTGAGTGCAGAGCCCGGTATGGGGCTCAATCCCACGACCCTGAGATCATGACCTGAGCTGAAATCAGGAGTCGGAGGCTTAACCAACTGAGCCACCAGGCACCCCCTAAATATTTTAATTATCACCAACCAAGTCTCAGTGAAACTTATACATTTATTTTTGTTTATCCTGTTTCTTGGAGTCTCAAGTTCATCATACATGTATCAGGTAGAGGTATCATGGTAGCATTGTTGGTAGGGCGGGCTCTGGGCCCGACTGCCTGGGTTTGAATTCTAGCAATGCCACTTACGAGTCCTGTGACCCAGGGCTTAGTCCATCATAAATAGGAGTAGCTGTACCTCTCTTAGATTGTTACAGAGAAATGTACTCAATAAACTTGACCATTGTTATGATCTTAGTCATAGCTGAAGTATCTATGATGATATTAACAAATCCTAAAGTTTACCCGTGATTTATACCTTTTTAATCGTTAAACAATTTCATTTTCAAAAAGAGGGATTGGTAAAGTTTGCCAGACACTGCAAAGATGTCAGGTAATTTCATGTCCATTAGTGACCCTGGCAAGAGAAACTTTCAGGGCAGATAACCAAGTTGCAGTGAGATGAAGAGTTAGAACTCTAGAAACTACTTTTTGGAATGCCAAGTTTAAATCAATTGTTGTATTCACAAGCTTAGATTTTTTTTTCTGTGTATTGGCTGCTCTTGATTACTAATGTTAACACAAAACAATATTACAGTAATAAAAATCTTTACAATTTCTCATTGAAATTCTTATTAGTAAGCAAATGAATCAGCTCCCCAAATGACAAAACAGTTCTTTGAAACAAAGCCACAGATAAGCGTTCATCTACTATATATAGCCCCTTGTATGTAATGAGTGCTCAGTGAATTATCTTTTTGTAAAAGTGAATTTTTACTGACCATTGTTTTTTCCCCCCCCTTCAAAAGTGTGTGGATTTTCATGTCATATAACTTGTGTAAACAAAGCTCCAACTGCTTGTCCAGTCCCACCTGAGCAGACAAAAGGGCCTCTGGGGATAGATCCGCAGAAGGGAATAGGAACAGCATATGAAGGTCATGTCAGGGTAAGTCTGATTAGGTTGGGTTTAGATTAATCTTTTGAGGTTGATTAAGGACTGAAAATAAAGTCCAGTCGCCTTACAAACATACTCCTTGCCAGAAAAGTAGGCGAATAAAATTCATCTAATAATTTTATTTCATCCAGAGTGATTTGAAAACAAAAACCTGGCCTTTGCTTGGAAATAAATTCCAAAATGTCTTACAGTTTTCTGTACTGTCCCTATCTTGTAACAAACAGATGTTGGAATCTCCCTAAAGGAGTCTTTGGCACCTGGTCTTCCTGGAGATGCAGTGTATGCTTATGACGTATGAGATGTTATCAGGGGGTATTCTTACTTGTAATCCTGAATAACATTTAAAGTGTAAGCTACATTTCATCATACTCCCAAATTTGACTTTTATGCTACTAAGAAAGAAATCCATGAATGTTATTTTAATGAATTATTAAAGTTAAAATGGTACCATTTAAAAATTTTTCAGAATAAAAAGTCATACAATATTTGAAGAATGTATTCTTACAGTTTCTCATGTTATCAGTGATCTGTGTGTTCCATCTGCACTTGACCCCCCCCCCCAGAGCGGCAGACTTAGGACACGTGTACATTATCTTTAGGTTTCCATCATGCAGTTACATAGGTAACTAAGGGGGCTGTGACTGACATTTTAGTTTGAGTTGTTTCTGTTTCCCGAAGATCCCAAAGCCAGCTGGAGTGAAGAAAGGATGGCAAAGAGCATTGGCTGTGGTTTGTGACTTTAAACTCTTCCTGTACGATGTTGCGGAAGGAAAAGCATCTCAGCCCAGTGTCGTGGTCAGTCAGGTGATTGACATGAGGTAAGCTTTCCAAAGTGAAAATATTTGTGTCTTTGTGACATAGGAATAAAAAAGTGTCTGGTTTTTCATCTAATTACATTGCCATATTTTTATTTAAATCTGATTTCATATTAATAATCGAATTTACTAATATTGCCAGAGTAATATAATTAAAACCAGGAAGCAAGGTGTCGTTATAGGACTTGTTGATGTGTGTTGAGTGAGTGAGTTGGGGTTCGGGCTTAGGGAAAAGAAGCTAATGTTTGAATCCAAAAGACCAGCATAAAGATGGGGTGACGAAGGCCTAATACGTGGTCTTGTCACCTGAAGGTATGAATCGTAAATCCAGTGCGAGGAAAAAAATCCCAGAATCAGATAGGTTCTTGGAGTATGTAATGAGCTGGGAAACATTTGAATGAGTCCACCTCTTGAATATTTCTGGTCTCACTCTTCAGGCCCTTCCCCTGCCCCGTGGAGTACTCTCCTTCACCTCTTCTTGTAACTCCTGCACTCCCTTGGGGTGATTTATGAGCCCCCAGAGCTTTAGCTGTCACCTCTGTGCTGATGACTCCCACACAGGCCTCCCTCCAGCTCTTTCTCCAGCGCTCAGAATAAGCATTTCCAGCCATGGCGCACACTGGCATTTCATGCCAGCACCTTAGACACATCCTCTTCCCCCAGATACAGAATATGAGGAGATAGGTGCAGGAAACATTAGTAACGAAAGTCCGACAGAGCCTGCTCAGGGAATTGCTATGGAAAGACAGGGAGAAGAAGCAGAGACGAGACTAAGGCGTCAAGTCTTCAAGACCAAGAGAATGATGGCACTAAGAATTAGGAAGTCACAAGGAGTAAATTATTGTGGAGGATTTCTGTTTCAGGTGTTGACGGAAGAGTGAAATGTCAGATACGCTATGTTATGGGCTTGTGAGCTGTGTTGTGGGAGGCAAGAGGGTGCGTTGTTCTGGAGGGTTCCGATCCCTCATCTGCATGTATGGGTACTGGCCTTGCAGCTGGAGGCAACAGTCATTGCCAGCCCTGTGTAATTGCCACTGCTAAGTTACCCCTTATAAATTCCTCTGGGCACCATCAATTACAATGGCGAAAAAATCAATTTTTTTAAATTCAGTTTGGATGTTTTGTGCAGTGAAGTTTTGAGCATTGTCCCATGTGTGTTATTTGGATGCACCCTAAATACAACATACATACCCACATACACTGACTTTTAATGTTGCATTTTTCCTTCAGGGATGAAGAATTTTCTGTGAGTTCAGTCTTGGCTTCTGATGTTATTCATGCAAGTCGAAAAGATATACCCTGCATATTCAGAGTGAGTATGTGTGCTGTAATTTGATCACTGAATTATGTGTTCTTAGTGAATATATATTTTGTCTCTGTATATAGATCATAAACTTACTAGGAAATATTAAATCCTATATTCCTTAATGTGTTTTGTATCATCCAGTACTTGAATGTATAGACAATTAGTGCTAAGTAAATATTTCATCAGTAAAAGACCTGTAGAAAGTGTGAATATTTGGCTTCTAAAATAGTTTCATGTTGGGTGATACTTTTGAGCCACAATTCACATTCCAAATAAATATACCACATGGAAAATTAAGTAAGTGTGAGGTTTCTCAAGTTTTTGAAAAATAGAGGTTTCTTTTTAAAATCTCATTTAAAAAATTAATGTTTTATTTCATTGCTTTGTAATAACTACTCCAAAATTTAGTGGCTTAAACCAGTAATGATTTATTTTTTACCATACTGTGGGTCAGCTATCCAGTTGGAGTGGGGTTGAGTAGGGTCACTCCTGTGGCTACATTCGGCTCATTTGGGGCTGGAATATCCAAAATAACCTTGCTTCCATATCTGGGGCCTTGCTGCTGGCTGTCAGGCTGGGCGATCTCTGCTCTCTTTGTGAACTTTCTCCATGTGGTCTCTCATTCAGTCATCGGCTGAGCTCTACAGGGCTGGCCTCCACAAGAACAAAAGAAGCTGCCAGGCCTCTTTTTTAAGGACCAGGCCAAAACAGGCATAACTCCCATGCATTCTGTTGGTCAGAGCATGTCACGAGGCCAGCCTGGATTTAAGGGGAGAGGAAGTAGACTCCAGAGCTTGATGAGAAAAATAGAATTCCATAGAAAGAATTGTTGGTAGCCATCTTTGGAGGCTGTCTGCCCTACCACAGGGCGATCTTGAATTGGTAAATTAAGACAATAGATGTTTAAAAAAAAAAAAAAAAAGCCCACTGCCCTAATGTTATGCCCGTATGCTGAGTGTCTATGAATCTTGTATTTAAGAAGGGTCAAGAAGGGAGCCTAAGGAGGCCCACTTGCCTAAAGCTGATTCACATAGTGGGATTTTATGGTCACTGCTGCCTTTAAGAAGGGATCCATATATATAAAGTTTAAGTCTGTTCTGATTGTAAGTGCTATTTGTATAGTGATAAATCTTCATGTAAATACCAACTCAAGTGATCTGATCTTCTCTAAAATAATGTGAGTTATGTTATGAAGTAACGGAGTGTTATTGCTGACTTTTTAAAACAAGTTGAAAATCAGTTTGGTGTAGTGCTTCTGAGCATGGACCCAGGATCCCAGTCTGGTGGGACATCCTTGGAGGCTGTGAGTCTCTGCGCCAGAGTATTTTCATATGTAAAATCAGGATATGATAGCAATACCCGTCTCATACTTGTAACATGCTCCGATCACTGCTCAGAGATTGCTCAGTAAATGTCAGCTGCTGTTGATGTATGAGTATGGGTCATGCATTTCTCAGTGATGGTATTCTGGCATTTTATAGCAAAGAAAATTAAAAAATGGTTACTAACATTTAAAATGGTATCTAGGGGCGCCTGGGTGGCTCAGTCATTAAGCGTCTGCCTTCAGCTTAGGTCATGATCCCAGGGTCCTGGGATCGAGCCCCACATCGGGCTCCCTGGTCCGTGGGAAGCCTGCTTCTCCCTCTCCCACTCCCCCTGCTTGTGTTCCCTCTCTCGCTGTGTCTCTGTCTGTCAAATAATCTTTTAAAAATAAATAAATAAATAAAATGGTATCTAGGTAGATAGATAGCGGTATATGCTACCTCTGCTTTGTCATGAATTCTAATGCGAAGACTAGTTACTCAGCTGACCTCTGGTAAAGGTGTCATCTGATGAGTGCTCATTTTGTTGGCCAGAGTCTGGTCAACTAGCATCAGCATGAAACCAGTGTGGAGGGTATCTGTTTTCTAACATAGGCTGATTCAACTGTCCTAGGTCACGGCTTCCCAGCTCTCGGCGTCTGACAGCAGGTGTTCGGTCCTGATGCTCGCGGAGAGCGAGAGCGAGAGGAACAAGTGGGTGGGCATGCTCAGTGAGCTGCACAAGATTTTGAAGAAAAGCAAATTCAGAGACCGCTCAGTCTATGTTCCCAAGGAGGCTTATGACAGCACTCTGCCCCTCATTAAAACAACCCAGGCAGCTGCAATCATAGGTACGGACTTGCCCCGTTGACCATGTTACCATAGTTGTTGACTAACCTACCATGTGAGGAGGGCTGGCTTGCAGCTGGGAACCCCCAGGGTCCAGCATGGCGTGTGTTGTGCCCTGGATGCACAGGAAGTGCCTACTGAGTGAGTGAGGCCATTGAGAGCTATGTTTTCCAGTAAATGATAATGAGTACACTTTCCAAGTGTGTTTTCTTCTGAAAAAGCAACGGTGCTGAAGATTAACCTATTAACGATCTATTTTCTGCTGTGTGACTTAGAACAAGTTGTTTAACTTCTTAAAGCATAAGTTTCCTAGGTAAGATGCAGGTTCCAGTTACCTTGCAGAAGTGATGGGGAGGTTTCAGGAAAGCAGGACATGTGACACGGGTCACCCTTGCATATCAAATGCCCTCAAGAAATGGCGGTGTCTGTGTCTGGAGGTTTACATTTTTGTCCTGTTATGTATACATCCAACTCTTTTGTTACTTTCTAGTCGATAATGAAAAGTTAGTGAGTAGGGTTCAAGTGCCTTCCACAATTTTTCCCTCCCAAAACAAGAAATAGAACTAGACCTAGGGTGCTTAACAAACTAGGTTTTTAATTTTTTTCACCCTTTATTGAATAAACATTTACTTCTTTTTGTAAGAATGGATATACTTTCTAATGACTGTTCATTTAAAAAGACATGAGGTAACATTTACCACTGTAATCTGAAAGATTTAATAGTACAAATTGTTATTGCTATTTTAAGTTACTTATTTCAGTTTTTTGCACCAAATTTCTTTATTATCTGTTTTGTTCTATTAGTTTTACATAGTTTTACCTATTAACAGTGTTTTCTATTTATGTCTTCCGTAGATCACGAAAGGATAGCGCTGGGCAATGAAGAAGGGTTGTTTGTTGTTCACGTCACCAAAGATGGTAAGAGAAAAGTTAATTATTGCAGAGTAGGGCGCCTGGGTGGCTCAGTCGTTAAGCGTCTGCCTTCGGCTCAGGTCATGATCCCAGGGTCCTGGGATCAAGCCCCGCATCAGGCTCCCTGCTCCGCAGGAAGCCTGCTTCTCCCTCTCCCACTCCGCCTGCTTGTGTTTCCTCTCTTGCTGTGTCTCTCTCTGTCAAATAAAAAAATAAAATCTTTAAAAAAAAAAAAAAAAGAAAGAAATTATTGCAGAGAACTTTCAACCAGATATTGTTAGACAAATCTAAACTCTAGATTCTAAATTCTAAGAAGAGCACGATTTGCTCTTATGTATTCTGTAATTGAAATTTTCCACACCTAATTTGATGTGTTTATAAATCAAGATACCTTTTAATATTCTTTAATCCTCCTGAGGTCTTAAACTTGCAAGAATGTGTTGTGTTTCTTTTGTCATTCATTTAACAGCTCTGCACACAAACTCAGGTTGCATGCCTAAAGATGGATGTGAAAGATACAGCTTGATTTGTTCATTGCTCTGTTAGTGCTTGAAGAGGTAGCAGTCATTAAAATGTGTTCATGTGGGGGTGTTTTTCCCCACACTTAATACAACAGATTTTTTTCCAGGGAGAAATTAAATACTGAGTGAAATAAAAAGGAACCAATTTGCTAGTGTCCTGTCTTCAGATCAAGAGAGATCATGGGAAGACGATGCATTTAAACTACATCTGTTTGTTACCCATAGAGATACCTTCAGGGGCACCTGGGTGGCTCAGTTGGTTAAACGTCTGAGTCTTGGCTTCAGCTCAGGTCATGATCTCAGGGTCCTGGGATGGAGCCCCTGAGCCTGGAGCTGCTTGAGATTCTCTCTCCCTCTGCCTCTCCCCCTTGCTTGCACATGCATGTGTGCACTCTCTCTCCCTAGGGGAAAAAAAGAAAAAAGAAAAGAAATATCTTCAGTGAAACATACCTTAAAATAGGAGCACCATGGCAAAGTTCCTAAGAATTTAGTGCCAGTAAAAAGGTTTTTCCTACAGATGTGGCATGCTTTATCATACAGGGATCCTTTGCCTTGGTTGCCGGAAATCATGGTGCTGAATTTAACACCTCACTGTAGGTGTGTGCAGTTGCCTTATGATGGGTATAATTATCTTCCTCTTTCTCCACATGATTTGGATTTCTTATTCTTCTGCGTGTATCTGTGTCTTTATTATAAGTTGACATACCATTTTGAGTATAATTGGGATACAATTAATAAATAAAACATTCTGCATTTGATTTATTATCATTTCTTTGCATAGAAATTATTAGAGTTGGTGACAATAAGAAGATACATCAGATTGAACTCATTCCAAATGATCAGCTTGTTGCTGTGATCTCAGGACGAAATCGTCACGTGCGACTTTTTCCCATGTCAGCTTTGGACGGACGAGAGACTGATTTTTATAAGCTGGCAGAAACTAAAGGGTGTCAGTCCATAACTTCTGGCAAAGTGTGCCACGGAGCTCTCACATGCCTGTGTGTGGCTATGAAAAGGCAGGTCCTCTGTTATGAACTATTTCAGAGCAAGACCCGTCACAGAAAATTTAAGGAAATTCAAGTGCCATATAATGTGCAATGGATGGCGATCTTCAGTGAACAACTCTGCGTGGGATTCCAGTCGGGATTCCTCAGATACCCCTTGAATGGGGAAGGAAGTCCGTACAGCATGCTCCATTCAAATGACCACACGCTATCATTTATTGCACATCAGCCGATGGATGCCATCTGCGCAGTTGAGATCTCCAGTAAAGAGTGTCTGCTGTGTTTTAACAGCATCGGGATATACACCGACTGCCAGGGCCGGAGATCGAGACAGCAGGAACTGATGTGGCCGGCAAACCCTTCCTTTTGTTGTAAGAGTCTCTTATTTTGGCTGTTTTACCTTTTTGTTTCTTTCCTTTTCCTTCCACCTCATCTCCTAAATATATTGACTATTGATAACGGGTGGTTTTTTAAAGTCACCCTTAAGGTTTTGCCTAAGTGTCAATTATGTTTAATTATGTGAAGTAAGTACCATAGTTAGACCTTGGCCAGCAGGCTTGACATTACCTTGTACCTAGTTGAAGCTAATGCTTCTATGGAATATTTTACTTAAGTGGATTTTTAACCCATGTTGTATTTTGAAGTAACTCTAAACAGTTATCTTCATGGTCCCCCAAAATACAGTGCTTGTGAGCATTAACAGCTCATGAGACTTACTCTGGAGAAGTAGTTACTCAGTGAATTATTTAATCAGTTATGTAAAGGTATAATGCAGCATCTGTAAGAAGTGTTTCTCTGTCTTTTATATTTTTATCTAGATAGATGTTTGAGATTGCCTGTTGCACTCTTTCAAGAAATATTAAGACATTAATAAATTATTGGATACTCATTACATGCCATCTCACTAGGACAAGTTAGAGAGCCCAGCTCAATAGACAATTTTCCCCTGCTGGGGCAGAGTGGGAAGTAGGGAAGATTCATGACAAGCGAAAAGTTGCATTGGATTCTAAGTGCTCTGTAGCATAAGTACCAAGTTGTGGAGAGGCCCGTGGGAGCAGTGTCTGACCCCATGTGCTTTGTTTTTAGTGGAAGATACTTGAACATGCTTGAATGCTGAACTGGGGAACTAGGGAAAGGTTGACTGTGTGGTAAATACAGGAAATAGAGTAAGATACTCACAGAGGCCAGAGAGGATGGAATTCAGAACACAGGGGGAAGGATTTGGGGCCAGAGGCGGGAAATCTCTTCCACTGGCACCAGGTGGGAGGAGTGATGGGCGGGATACAGCTGAGTGTAAAGGTTTAGTGGGAGAAAAGTTGGGAAGGCCATACACGCTTGTTACAGAAAAGTTAGAAAATCTGCATTAAAAAGAAAGAAAGAAAGAAAAATACTTGTAATCCTACCCACCCAAACCTAACTATTCTTAAAGTTTTGTTTCTTCTAAAACACGTACTCTTATCTGTGGTATCCTATGTAGAATAAGAACTGTTTGGTAACCTGGTCAGGTAATAATTCCAAGTATTACTTCTGATATGGAATCAGAATATCTAGCTCTTATGAATAGCTCGGCCAGGGATGTAACACATGATGTCAGCTTAGGTCAATCATCTCGTCTCTCCTTGCTCGTGTCACCGTCTTTCGCCGTTCATTCTTCCAGTAAGCGGCTTTGAGCATTTACCCCACTCACGTGCCTGTGTCAGGTACGTGATCCTATGTTCATAGATGTGATGGCAAGTCTCACCTAAAGATTGCTTTGTAAGTTGTTGTGCTGTCCGTATCTTAACTGGTTTAGGAATCAAATACTTTAAAAAAAAATGTAATGACATCCCTTTATAGAACTTGTATTGGAGAAGGGAACATTCCGCCATCTGTGTTAGCAGAATCCTTATGTATTAAAGTGGCTGTCTGACCCACGGCATGTCCTCTGCTCATTTATGACTTATGTTCTGTCTGCCTCAAAAATGTTTTGAAGTGGCTACTACATGAACACAGGATTTGGGTGGGATTCTGCTCTACAGTTATTTAGCATAGATCTTTCAAAATGTTTGGGGTTTACAAGTTAGAAGTAATTAGCCACTGTTCCCTCCTTCTGTTCTTGCAGGTTACAATGCACCATATCTCTCGGTGTATAGTGAAAACGCGGTTGATATCTTTGACGTGAACTCTATGGAATGGATTCAGACTCTCCCGCTCAAAAAGGTAATTTCATGTGAAAATATGGGCTAAGCACACTAATGAGTGTAGTCAAACACTAAGGAGTGTAGTCAAACACTAATAGTTGGCTATTTTTCACTATTCGGGCATTTTCTGGCAGTCGGTAATTTGGGGTTTAGCTAAGAGGACAACAAAAGTCAAGCTGGTTAATTTTGTAGGTAATTCAACACCATACTCTTTTTATCACATTTAGTTTCACTGTATCAATAGGAGGATTGTCATAACGAGCAACTAGAATCTATACCCAGCCTAAAATGCCAGTGTCGTCTTCTACTTCAGGAGCTCTGAGGGAGGAGAATGCGGTCATTTCTTTTTTGTAACTGCTTTTCACACTATGGGATGCAGGCTCTGATCCTGAGACAGCTCTCACACGCTAGAAAGGTCATTAAACTTAGAACCAAAACTGTTTAAGCGTCTCATGATTAAAACGAAAAGGCTTTATATATTCCTAATAAAACATGATTTTCCCTTTAATATCTCCCTATGATAACAGAAGGAAATTTTATAGGTATACAATGACTGTTTTGCATAAGAGAAGACTAATAGTTTCATACAGATATATGTAGCTTGTATCATTGTTTAGGGGGCAGGGTGTCGAGGAATAGGTACCAGAAAGGAGCCAACGTCCTGTTTCGAAGTCTGCCCCAATCTTAAAGCACATCAGCAATGAAAACTCTTGTAAATACTCCCACGTTATGTACGGAACCTAAAATATGGCCCTCTGGTTTGTATATTTGGGTTGATTACAATTAGTTTTCTGTTTTATTTTTATCATGTGAATTTTATAATGTATATGAAAGAATGTGACCTCTATGAAGTATAATAATTAACTGCCGACTCATGAACCCACCTCCTAACTTTAGGGCCAGAACATGACCAATATCACTGCCTCTACCTGTGTCCTTTTCCCTTATCCCATACCCCTGCCCCTCCCCAGAGAGGGAATGTTGTAGGTATCATTGCTTTGCTTTTCTTAAAATACAGATTTGGGAGGGGCTGCATATTTAAATATTCTTAAACAGTTGTTTCATTTTGTACTGTTGAGTTTTGCTTGCTTTTGAGCTTTATGAAAATGTTACATGTGTGTCATCTGCCTTGCTTTCTTCATGCATAGTCCAAGATTCACCCTTGTTGTTACACATGCTATGTGTAGCTCATTGCTTTTCACTACTATAAAATACTCTCTTGAGTGAATAAATCACAGTTCATTTCTCCATTCTCTGATTGGCAGACTTTGAATTATTTTCCAGGTTTTGCTACTCTGAACACTGATGCCTGTGTCTTTGGGTGCATGTGCAGGAGTTTCTTTATATCTCACGTCTAGGAGTGGAATTGATGGGGCACAGGGAAAGCAAGGGTTCAACTTTAGAGGATAGTGTCATTATTTTCCAGAGTCATTGTACCGGTTCATACTCCCCCCAGTAGTGCAGAGGAGTTCCTGCAGACCCACATCTTCTCTGACCTTGCCATTTTCAGAATTCATAGTTTTATAACCATTATCAATGGTTGTAAAATTCTATCTCATCGAAGCATTAATTTGCATGTCCCTAATCTTTGTATGTCTTTCATCTTACTTTTGTTTATGTGTTCATTCTTATTTCTTCTTCTGTGAAAACCTAGTCATGCTTTTTGCTCACTTTTCTATTTGACTGGCTTCTTTTTTTATTAATTTATTGAAATTCTTTATATACTGTAAATACTGAGTTAGTAAGGGGTGGGGTAAATCTTCTCCATTTGTGACCTATCCATTTTGATTGTGTATTTTGCTCAGCATTTGCTTTGCTTTGTTAATTTGCTTAGCATTTATTTTAATAACAATAAATTATTTTATTTTGCTGAAAACTTGTTATAAATTTTATTTTAGATTTCATTTAAATTTATTTAAATTTAAGTTAGTTAACATGAGTTAACATGAGTGTATTACTACTTTCAGGGGTTATTGTTACAAATTTTAATGTCGTTATATGTGTATCATTCTTATCTTTTTTCTGTTAGGAAACTTTCCTAACTCAAGGTCATAAAGATAATAGGACCTTTATTCCAAAAGTTTGAAAGTTGTGCCTGTTGTATTTATGTCTTTAATCCCTGTAGAGTTGTTGTGTGATCTGTGGTGTGAGGTAGGGACTCCATCTGTTCCATGTATGTGAGGAGTTGCTTTGTCACCGTTTACTGACAGCCCCCCTGAGTGGTACACAGTTTCATCTCTGTCATATGTGGACATATAGTTCTAATCACATTAATAAAGCAGCTGCATTGATATCTTCTTAGTATAATGATTTAGTCACTAATGGCTTTAAAAAGTCAAATTTAAGATTTGAATGTATTTCTGCTTTTTTCCTCCCGAAGAGTCTTCCTTCAAAATGTTGTCATTGTAACTTTTTTGTTCAAATTAGATAATTTTATAATTCCCATCAGAATTAATGTTAACTTTCTGTTGATTTTCTGAGGGAGCTATATTTTGAAGAGGAAGGATAGATGGAAGGTCTCAATAGTGTGTGCTTTCTAAATAGGCCAGAAGTTTTATGATTTCATTTGAAGGTTTTATTGAAATACTAATTTTATTTTATTTTTTTTTATTATTTTAGGTTCGACCCTTAAACAGTGAAGGATCGCTAAACCTTTTAGGGTTGGAGACAATTAGATTAATATATTTCAAAAATAAGATGGCAGGTAAGAAAATATACATTAATAGGATAGCTTCAATGGAAATGTTCTCTCTAAGCTGACTGCCTGAGGATAATAAATAAGTGGCAGAGACCAGATTTAAACTCAGGTTTATCTTACTCCAAAGTCTGTGGTCTTGGCTACTGTCATCCTATCCTCAGTCTGTTAAGATAAATGTCTGCCTAAAAAGTCATTCTGTTTAATCTTGCGTAGCTGTATACACAATATATTTGTTGCTGACCTACTGTGTTATTTTTTTGTGGAGTGCTGACTTAAGTGGAGAAAGTATCGCCGTGGGTGTCTTCTGTGTCTTCTCCATTATTGATACCGCAAAATCTAACCCAGTTTTGTGGTGCTAAAATTGTGAAAGCTCATCCAGGGTTCTGACTGGGGACTTTGAGAATACATCTTCTGACAACACATAGGGCTTTGAACTTCAGAAGTGTTCATACCAGCTCAGGGGAAGGAGAGTGGAGAGGAGGGTCCCAGGAGCCCCAGAATTGGGAGCGGGGAGTGGGAGCCCCGGGACGGGAGTCCAGAGAGGACGAGGGCCGTGCCCGCAGGCACTGCTTGCCTTCACATTTGATGTCTGGCATGTGCTCTTGGCGCTCTGGAGGTCTCCGGGTTGACGGACTGGTGGCTGTAGGAGAGGACTTCCAAAGGGAGAGTCAGAATTTAGAAATGATTCCCAGTCAGTGATGGATCCACCATGAAGCTAATGACACTTGAGCTTTACACCTCTCACCTCTAAGGGCCTGTGGTTAATTTTGTATCTGTCTCTTAGAGGAAGTCCAGATATTGGTATAGGATTGGCTCCACCCTCTTCTCACTGTGTGTGGCCGCGATGATCATGCAATATGTCCGTGTCCCAGGTCGTGTCCATAGGATGAAGTCTCTTTCCACTTGCGTTCCCCGAACTCGCGTCTTTCTGCTCTGAGCTGGCGGTGGAGGCGGAGCTTGGCAAGGGAATACCCGACAGAATTTCAGCATAGGTGTTTTGTCCTCGGGAAAAGGAAGGGGCCCCATTCCCCAGAGGCCCTTTCTTTTTCTCTGTCTTGCTCTGTCCTTCATCGCTCAGGGGCTCAAAGTGTTGCTGCAGCCTTCTGACTGTCCCACATCTCCCACTCCACCGTCACTCACCCAGACCTGCTCTGCCCTCACGATTCTCGAATTCCAAAACTGTTTCACACGAAGCTACACTATTCCCATCCAAGGAGAATGTTGCTTTTCCGCTAATCATCTGCCCTGGCTTGCCTTGCAGGCTTCCGCTCATCTCCTTTTTCTCACTTCAGCTTTGTGGCTGTTAAAAATTCTGCAGATTGGCTTTTCTCCTGTTCCTTATTTAGAGAATGGCATCCATCATGTGTGAATACAGCTGCCTATTTTATTCCTAGAGTATGTTCACAAATTTCAACAGGTCTGGGGAGCCCTTGGCGGACAGTTTTGTTTACTTCTAGGTATTAAAATTGAAACCGGATGCATGATTAAGTATCATCTCCTCTCCAAGTTCAGAAGAGTAGAAATAGCAACAGAGTCTTACCTTTAATAAAGGAAGCTGGTGGGAACACAAGGTTTTGTCCTTAGCACACATCTGGCAGACTGGATCTTGCAAAGGACATGTTTTATTATGTCAAAAGACTTTTAGTTATCATTTACACGAATAATTTCCTGTTTATGCCTGAGTGCTGCACAGCCTACAGGAGGAGCATTGGACCCAGTGCCTGGAAGGTGAGGGAAGACAGTGCAGAGAGATTGCAGGGGGAGGGAGCAAAATGACAGGACCCCCCCCCCAGGCAACTGCATTTTTCTTGTCTTCCACTAAAATTGTGCCAGTTTATGTTTATAATCAAATGAAAGTGAAACTGTACTTTGTAAGCTATGTTTAATTTTCACATATACCTGTTTACGTATGTCCTGGTTTAAATTATTATTTGCTGTATCAACGCACAATGTTTAAAAATGAGAATTGCGTAGTTTGTACAACTGGTGAATGTTGGTACTGTCTTAGAGATTAACAGATAAAAAGCATTTTTGTGCTTTAAAGGACATCACCGTTACTTGGTATTTTTTCTAACAGAAGGGGATGAACTGGTGGTTCCTGAAACATCGGACAATAGTCGGAAGCAGATGGTTAGAAACATCAACAACAAACGGCGCTTCTCCTTTAGGGTCCCAGAAGAGGAGAGGATGCAGCAGAGGAGGTGGGTATGAAGCTGAGGCTTCATGGTCGTGATACTGGTATTTGACTCGGAAGGCAGATATGAGCTCTGAAAATCTGTCACCCATCTATGGTGTCAAAACTGCAATCATGAATGTACTGTTCAGTGTAGTTTTAATTCATACTCTCCAAAGTGTGAGTATGCACTGGATTAAAGTATCATATTGTAATTCATTGCTCTGTGTATATGAAATACTTACAATTTTTAGACTATGGGCCTTTGTATAATAATATAAACAGCACATGCCTGCATGTGGTACATCTGTTCAGGCTTTAGAACTTCAGGTTACCTCTCATGAGCAAAGAGCCCAAAGGCTTATAGTATTTCCAGGCACATATAAAAACATCACTAAAGTGTTATCAGTTATTTTAAAAGACACATAAATTGGTCAGAACTATCTGTAAAATACAGCTTTGATATGTAAGTGCTAAGAGAAGCCTATTTTCCCACCAAAATGCTCAAGATCTTTTATTTAAAACAGAAGTTTCTAAGTAAAGTTTTAATGGAGTATATCTTATAGTTAATTCTATCCTTATTAAGATTTCACAGTTTTATTTTTGTGAATAAAGGATGCTTATTTTTTTCTAAAATTATCTAGGTCAATCACAGAAAAAGTGTCTAAGCAGGTGTTTTATCTTACAGAGAGATGCTACGAGATCCAGAAATGAGAAATAAATTAATTTCTAACCCAACTAATTTCAACCACATAGCACACATGGGCCCAGGAGATGGGATACAGATCCTAAAAGACCTGCCAATGGTAAGAGAAATGAAGGGAGAATGGGAACGGGGTTACGAGTGGGGCAGAGAGGGAGAAAGCGTACATGTGTGCCTAAATCCATATGTAGTCTTAAGAAGAGATGTTAGTATGATGACGAGATGTTTGTGTCCATACATCATAATATGTGCAAGATGCGTGATGATATATCCCTGATGAGAAAAACACAACATTTGGGCATCTATGAGAAACCAGACAGATCCAGTTCTTACTTAGTTGCACACCCCATAAACTTGTCCCGTATCCAGACTTACTGTTGGTGGTGGAATACACTGCCAGATTTGAAGGGGATCTGTACCGAGACTCAGAACTTGCTCATGAAATCACCAACATTTCACTATGTTTTAGCAATTCAGTACAGATATTTGGCCCTTTTTACCCCCAGAGAACCATGTTAGGTTGGTCATTAATGGCCACACCTCTTACCTGGTTGGGCAAGCAAACCTTCTTCCTCTCCCCAGTTACAAACATGTTGCCCTGTCCGTCTTGCACACAAAAATTGACAACATAGGAAAACTTGTTTTTCATATGAAGATTGAATTCTTGGACCCATTATGTTGAGATGAAGAATATTGGTGGAATTAGCTAATTTTCCAGGCTCTGTTTACATTTAACATTCCAGTATCACAATACCTCAGCAAATTGTTGAAACTTTCATAGGACCCCTTTGATCACGGGTGGTAGTGTTAGGTTTGTGAATCTGGACCCAGAGCTCTTTCTGAGGGAGCCTCTCCTCTCCCACTACCACCACCAGCACTATCCTGCTGTGATAGAAGATACAAGGGTCTATCGCTGACAGAAAAAAATGCCAGGTAACATACAGTCTTATGTGCAGTCAGGTTTTTTTAAATAATAAAATTAAGCTTTTGAAGGTAGTCCTGCATTTGTTTCACGGGAAGAACAAAAAAAATCAGTCATTGAGTCTGAGCTCCTCACTGGAAATACCCCGATTAACCAGTTGACCCTGTTTATGAACCAATACAATGCTTTTACTGTTATCACCGGGGCATTATGATGACCTAGTTATAGTGCTGTCCCCTCCTTTAGGGAGTTCAAATCATTTAACAGTAGCCATTTATCCTCTTGGAATGGGGATTTTTATTAGCTGTGCTGGATAAAGTATAAATAAAGTGTTCAAAATAGTAATTAAACTAAGTAAAAAATCTAACACTAAACATATTAAATAATAAACTGTTACACTTATCTATCATATTAAAACTTACACTGGTTTTTCACCTTTTGCCTGGGAATGAGATTTGAGATTTCTCTCCACTGTTTGCTCATCCTGAGCATGTGTTTAAAGTTCTCAGGCTGGTTTTCCTTTATTCTCAAGTAAACACGACATAACCATACAGTCTAAACCCTCTGTCGTTTTAGAGAGGATTTTTACATTTTGATAAGCATTGGAAATGTGAATACATGTTATAGCTTATACTTGATAGCTCAAGGGCTAATGTACCATTTTAGTGAAAGTTTTAAGATTTTGGAGAGATAGAGGGATGCAGATTTCAAACATGCATATGTTGCAAAGCAATACATCAACAAATACAAAATTATTTTAGTAGTTAACAAGTTTTTTAATATGTATTATACTTTTTAAATTAAAATTTCTTTCACTTGTGCTTCATTTTGGTGCACAGAAAAAGAATATGCAGGGTGCCTGGGTGGCTCAGATGTTTAAGCATCTGCCTTCGGCTCGTGTCATGATCCCAGAGTCCTGGGATCGAGTCCTGCATTGGGCTCCCTGCTCAGCAGGGAGCCTGCTTCTCCCTCTGCCTCTCTTTCTCTCTGTCTCTTATGAATAAATAAATAAAATCTTAAAAAAAAAGAACATACGTAGTTTTTATCTTATATATTCCCACAACAGAAGAATTACAGAAAATTTTTCTATATATTCTACTCTCTCCCAGAAATTACAATATTTTCCTTCAGGTGAAAAAGTTTCAGGGTTTCATAAAATATTCCTCTGCTTGGTAGTCTTCTGCCATCAGGTGACAAACCAATTTGCTAATGTTCCAGAATTCTTTCAGACCTTCATACACATAAGACTTGGTCATCACACACCCTGATGAATGAGCACAGTGAAAAGAAATGTCAGACTTCAAACATCGTGAGGACTTTTGTATCAGGGCATCCCTCCTCACTCCACTTTTTCTTCCTTTACCCTCCCACCACTTAAAGTAAAAGAAATCTCTCTTTTATTTACTTTTTTATTCAAAATAAGGTCTGGTCTTAATTACTGAGCTAAACAAGCTCAGACAGCATTTCCTAAAGATTCTTCCCCCACCTGACTGCATGGTACCTGGCCTTCTGTGCAACCACTTGTCCCCATTAGACCTCTTGATTTTTAGCATTTCTTGTCACTGATGTTGCTAACCCATGACTGCCTCATTGGCTCTTTCCATCATTGACACACATGCCCCTCTGCCCTAGAATGCAGTCCAGTTTTTAATGTTTCTGCCAGTCCTTTCTTACCTTGTAAGCACTTTTGTATTTCCAGAACAAGAAGTTGGTGTACATTTTTGAAACCTGTTTCTTCACCTTAATTTTAGTTTCACCTGGCCTTCTTCCCTTTACTAGCAAGGGATGTTCAAGCTGGGGTTGTTTATCAGCACCCACTGCACCACCTAACCAGAATTTTTTATATACTGTCCACCCAGACCCGTGCTTGTTTTGGGGTAGGCACTGGTAAACAACACATTAGTATAAGCACGTCTGAAAAAAATTAGTAATATACATGTGTGTACCTGTGTGTATATATGTTTATTGAAAAGCTTGTGATATTTTAATATGTTCCCAGGTTTTAATATGTCCTTTCCGCTGAAATGGAATTATCTGTGTTTAATGAACGATTTCTAAAAATTAAGATGAATTAAATTCATCTATCGTTAACATGTGTCAGAAGGGCTTTCAAACCCCAAAGCTCCATGTTATAAGAGCAGCATGTACCCCAGACATTTTTATGTTTTAACTTACTCATATCAGTACTGCTTTCCTGGGAAATACTTAGGAGCTTAGAGAGTTTATTGGATATCTTTAGAAGTTCTTCTGTGTACCAAAATGATACTGATAGAGGATTGTTTGCCTCACGAATGTGCAAGAGATCATCAGGATGAGGGAGTCCTGGGTTCGATGGGAGCCCTTCACGCATGTGTCACTATGCCGGGAGGGTATTAGCAGTCAGTAGAAGTGGCATGTGGGACTTGGAAGTATATAACTGCCTTAGCTTCTTGAATCCTGGTTGTCATTTGCTTTTTTTCATAGTGGGTGCTGGCAACAAAGGGCAGATTTTTCTCCAGTTGAATACAAGAATAATAATAGTTTACCTCCAGAAGATTTATTTTTGGCCCATGACATTTCTCCTAGCCTTTTATCCATCCCTAGAATTGTTCGTGAAGACCACATTTCTAGCTCGGTGGCCCCTTAGAGCTCCACGAAGTAATATTGCTTCTTCAGGTCAAAGTTACATGGACATCAATTAGTTTTTTCTTTTTGGAAATAACCTTGGAAAGCACTGGGTTCACTCACATCTCCAAACTTTAAACAATATCTTATAGAAGAGCTTTTGTTTCAGTCTCCACAAGTTGCCAGGTTTTGTTAAGCGAAGCCGGCTCATCCCAGCTCAGGAGGGCGTATGTTCTGCGTGCTTTCTCCCCGCAGGTCCTTCCCTCCAGCTCCTGAACCCTGTGGCCGCTCTCTGGGCCTGAACCTCGAAAATGCCCCACAGAGATGGTGGCTGGGTGCTGAGTGATGGCTCCCAGATTACTCAGAAGTCACTGTACCTGAAAGACCAGAGTTCTCCATTTGAAAAGCTTTTTCTGTCTTTTTAGTATTATGTTACTTTATGTTTTAATACACCCAGACATGGGAGGGAAGATTTTTTTCCCTTGTTAAAAACAAACGTGTCCTTTGGGTGTCTAAGTAGAGACAGGTTTGGGCTGCTGAAAGTCACGCCAGTAATTAAGGTCTTCCTCAGTCCCTCATTGCTCTTGTCAGAGGGAAATAAGATCAGTAAAACCAAACACAAGTCAGAGTCTGTACATCCCAGGAAATGGTTTCCGGTTTCTACAGGAAGTTTCATAGCACTTCTAGCAAGAGGCTGGCTGTGGGATTGCAGCTCTTTCACGTTCTTGCTCTTTCTGTCCTTATTGTTGTTTGTATGTTTCTGCCATATTCTGATTCTATCACATAAGAAAATCCTGAGCCAAACTCTGAAAGTCTCCTTGCAGCTCCGAAAGTCCAGTTTCTGCTCACTTGATGCAAGTAATAAAAAAGAATAATTTTATAAAGCAAATGATCTTTTGCACATCAGCTGTCTAGGTTACTGGCAGGAGGATTACAAAATTTAACTCTCTAAGGCCTGAAAGTATTTCCTGAAGGACTCGGTTCTGATGTGAGATATGTCATTTCTGCTGCATGCATGCTGTGAAATGTCACATATGACCAGTGGATCCTTTCTCATGACCTCACGACTTCTGTTCTTTCTGTCGTTTCGTTAGCCAGGCTTCCCTTATCCATCCCCTCATCATCACTCCGGCCTGATCTCCTCTCCGATCAACTTTGAGCACATCTATCACATGACTGTTAATTCTGCTGAAAAATTTCTCTCTCCTGATTCCATAAACCCCGAGTATTCCCCGTCTCTGCGCTCTGTCCCTGGTACACCAAGCTTTATGACTCTGAGGGTATGAACAGCTGAGTCAGGGGTTAACTTCCACTAACCATGTGCGGACCTCCTGTAGCTGGCTTGATAAGTAACTCTGCTTGGGGTTGGAGGGGGGCGCATTTTGTGAGTGTGTGCCTTCGGCCTGCTTCTCTTTTGCTAAACCTCTATTCTTCCTCCTCCTCCTCTTCAAGTTCAAGTTCGTTTCTTCTTTTGAGGAAAAACGTGAAGACGGGGGAGGATTTCACTTTTAGTTTTTGAACACTGTTGGAGGTATTTTTATGTTTCATAGATTTTCCCATCATGATTTTCCCTTTCCAGAGACCATCATTAAAAAGAGTCCCTGCGTGGGTCTTTATTCTATTTAAACAAAAAGGAATCCCAGAATTTCTCCATTTTTTTTATAGCTCATTAGCCTAGAACCGGTTCAATTCAGAGAAAATTTTTTTCATTTAGTGACGTTCAAGTCTGTGGTAGGGCCTAGCCACAGGCCTACTTTGTACAATAAACCCCTTTTTGAAAAGCCAAAAAAAACCTCCCAGGTAAAAATTATAATAGTATTAATGAGTCACAGGAAAAGTGAGAAAAAGAAGATAATCTCACTAGTCTTTGAGGTACTGATAGGCCTTTAATTCCAGCCAGGATCCAAGATATAACCCCTAAATCAGAGAGAGAACTAACACAAAGAGGCTGCTTCCGGAAGGACTGTGGCCTCTGCTGGTGGCCCCTTCGGTTCAGCCTGACAGGGCTGTAACCAGAGGCCTTGTGGTGGCCGGAGAGCTGGTGGCCATTAGCAGATTATCCATACTTCCATCAAGAAACGCACACTTAGCTAACTCCTCAGGAACCTTTTCTCAAGTTCATTTTGCAAATAAGATAGTTGGATTCTGTCCTGCAGACCCATGTCCCACAGCACCCTCTGACTTAGCGAAGTAGTAGCACCAATTTTTTATTTGTCCAGAAAACTAACTATAGGGTAAGAAGTTTATTTTTGTATTTTTGTTTGTATTATAAAGGTATCCTAAATTATAATGTTTGAAATGGCATTGACATTAAACTATATGTCATTTAAATGTCTTATTTGACAAAATACGATTAACGATGATAAAAATAAGCTTTAGTTTGCTTGGTAACAGATTGCAGGGAGTGGATTCCAAAGGAATGTTGTAGAAATTAATTGGTCAAGAATTTTTCCCATGAAAGATGAGAGATGTTCTGTAAGTCAGTCTTCTGCTAGTTAGAAACACTGTCATCAGTGAAAGTTTTCCCCTAATCCAAAGTATATTTGTGCATGGAAAAGACCAGCAAAGCTGGTTTCCTGTCACTTTAGATGGAAGTTGAACTCCAGCTGAATGAATGGTAAACTGTCTTTGTGGGGTTTTTCCTCACAAAACGTGTCTTATGTGAGTCAGTCTTTTATTACTTCAGCATTCATTGTTACTAAACAACTGGTATATTTTTACAGGTTTCATTTATGCCATTTATTCTAGGTAGGTTTCTTCTGTAGGGAAGCACATCTCCAAGGTATCATAAGGTTTACAGCAGAAACAGTAAAAATTTAAAGGTTGAAACTGACCTTCCCATCTCTTTTGATCTTTCCTCTGCTGCACTGTGTGCATGTCACTGGTGTCTCAGAGGTTGCTTCTCTATGCGTGAATGTTAAAATGCTGGCACTGTTTCTGTTTTAATTGTTTTGTTTTCTTAGAGGAAAAAAGGGAAAGCATTTGCTTTGAACAAATAACACACTAAGAATTAAATGGACTTTGCAGAGTTGGTATGTGAACCAAAATAGCAGCGGTTGGATCTGTGGCCGGCCGGCTGACTCTCGGCTGGCGTGGCTCTTCAGAACGGAGAATTTGGAGTTCTTCATGCGATATTAATGCGTGTTTTCCTAACTGCCCACCTAGGCCCGTTGTTAGTTCTCTCAGGCATCAGTAGCCCCTCCTTCTGGTCTCAAACGTTTGGGTCCATTGAGGCAGCCAAGCGCTTTCTATTCTCAGCCAAGTTCAGACAGCTCGTCCTCCAAGCCTCTTCTCGAGCCCTGTGTGACTTTCAAAGTACTCAGTGGCCCATTTTTCTACCTGAAACCCCGAAACCATTCCATAATGTGATGGAAAACTTCTCAAGCCAGTGTTGCCGAGTGAGATCACCACCGCCCTCCGCCCCCGCAAAGCTGTGGCAGTTCCAGACATGCCTTCTGGGACCCACAGCACCTGCTCCGCCAGCCTAGGTAGTGGGGGTGTGAACGCGCATCCAGTGTCACACAGTGCAACACTTACTGGAGAAAAATACACTCTTCACTGCCTTGCCTCCAAGTGGGCTTATAGTCTATTAGTGGAGTCATCCTAGTGGAAGTCTCATAGGAAGTGGAAGCTTTGTTTCCGTTATCTGCAAATGTCCATGTAATTCTGCACTTCGCTATCACTTCTAACCATTAACTTTTACTTACTGTTTTCACAACAAAGAGAATTCTTATTTGTTGATAACCATTTAATTAAGTACAAGGAGGAGCACTTACCCTTGATTGGGGTGAGGTTTACTTCTATTAGGGTTTCAAAATTTGGGGCAGGAGGGGTTATGCAGTCTGTTCCTTGCTCTGTATCACTCTGGTCAAGATAATTCATTTGTTGAAACTGAAGTGAGAAGTAGACATCTCTGCAGAAAATCACTTTGTCTCTGGCTGAAGAGTTTCTCTTTGTGTTTTGTTTTCAGAACCCTCGGCCCCAGGAAAGTCGGGCGGTGTTCAGTGGCTCAGTCAGTATTCCATCCATCACCAAATCCCGCCCTGAGCCCGGCCGCTCCATGAGCGCCAGCAGCGGCCTGTCAGCGAGTAAGTGGGGCTGTCCCTGGGAGCCCAGGACCACCCCGCCCCCAACCTCTCTCACGCATGCATGCTTCTGGGCAGTGCCTAGTAAGCACACATGCACTTGTGAAGAAAACAATCACGGGGTCCTTTCAAGTTCATGGTCCACCTGGGAGACAGACATTTCATACCACAAGTTGTGATGATTGAGGCACCAAAGGAAATAAATAGGGCACCGTCGCAGTAACAAGGGGTGGCCGTTGGGGACAAAGTCACACTGAGAGGAATTAGGAAGGCCATGTGCCCCTAGTGGGGAAGCCGTGTTTGAGTCCTGTTTGAAGAATTGAGAGAAGGCTCGTGTGGCTACCTGGTAGTGGTCAGGGAGTGACCCAAGAAATAAAGCACAAGAGGTAGGCAGGGGTCAGACCAAGCAGGGACGTGCAGAGCAAGCTGAGACATTTTATTTTATTAGAAATGCAACAGGAAGCCTCTAAAGAATGTGAAGTAGGGAAGGACCTTTCTCCAATTTACATTTTTAAAACTATCCTTCCAACTGCCAGTTGGAGACTGGACACAGGATGCGAGTGGAGCGTGCATCCTGGTGGGGCTGTCAGAGTGGCTGGCAGGGGTGATGGGCCCGGGGGGTGGCGGCAGAGGAGGGAAGAGAGGAGACGCTTTGGGGTGAAAACAGTAAGGCCTGGCGGGTAGTTAGTTGTGGGAGGGGAGGGAGAGGGAAGAGTTCCAGGTGACCCTCGTTCTCCTGCTGGAGCAGGGGGAGCCAGGGTTCTCGAAGGGCCGGCAGAGCATGAGAAAAGTTCAGGATCGTAACCTGTGCCACAGAAGCGGCATGATGTTCGTCATTCATCCGGTGAACATCCAGTAGACATCGAGTCTTCTGCTGGGGCCCAGAGGGTACAATCTTCTGTGACCAAGCACCTGCTTTCGGGTGGCTCAGCCACCGTCTTTATTGCCAGCCTCTTTCCTTTCACCCTGAACCTCAGCATCTCTTGTCTTATACTCCGCACAGAACCCTGCGCTCAGGGGCCCTGGGGAGAGAAAACTCTGCCCCATGCTGGGCTTCTGCGCTGCTGCAGCTGGGAGTGACTTGGTGGGGCGGGGAGGGGGGAGTGCACTGTTTGCCTGAGGAAAAGTGCAGGGATGCTAACAGCTGCCTGCCTCAGAATGAGAGGAGTGGACAGAAGCAGCATTGGACTGATTGCAGCAATTAGAAGTTAAGTCTTGTTGAATTCAGAGATCTTTGGTAGTTCCTGGATCCACAAGCAGTGAGCTATGTCAGATGATCATCGTGGCTTCTGACTGGGGGAAGATCGCTTGTAGCCAAGGGCTGCTTTTCTGTCACTTTCTCAAAAGCAGCACGGCATCAGCCTAGAGTTCGGAGGTTGTGAGTAGAGGGTGCCCTCGGAAGTGTAGATGCATCCATCATAATCTTAACGGGACCTCTCTTCACGCCCACAGCTGGTCTCCAGGGGACACAGATCGCGCTTCAGTTTCACATGAAGTCACTCAGTTAGAAAACGTATCTGTTGTCTCCCGTTCTTGAGCGCTAGCTATCGGAATGGATGTCCTTGCTGCAGATGGGGCTTGTTGTTCCCGCAGCAGACGTTGGAGTCAGCCCTGCTCTGCGCCGGCTGTTGCTTCTAGGCCCTGGCGCTACAGAGATGGGTGATGCTGTAGTAGTTACCTCTTGTGAAGAACACGGTACCCTGAAACTTGGAACGAAACAATGATCCAGGGGCACCTGGGTGGCTCAGTCAGTGAAGCATCTGCCTTTGGCTCAGGTCATGATCTCAGGGTCCTGGATCGAGTCCCGCGTCGGGCTCCCTGCTCCACGGGGAGCCTGCTTCTCCCTCTGCCTCTGCCCGCCACTCTGCTTATGCTCGCTCTCTCTCCCTCTGTCCCTCTCTCTATCAAATAAATAAATAAAATCTTTAAAAAAAAAAAAAAACGAATGATCAGGAGCACCTGGGTGTCTCAGTCAGTTGAGCATCTGACTCTTGATTTCGGCTCAGATCATGATCTCAGGGTCGTGGAATCAAGCCCTGCGTCAGGCTCTGCGCTCAGTGTGGAGCCTGCTTGGGATTCTTTCTCTCCCTCTCTAAAAAAAAAAAAAAGAAACAATGATCATTGATTATCTCTCTCTGTTTCTGAGGGTGAGGGATCTGGACGTGGCTGAGCTGGCCGGCTCATCTCAGGCTCCCCGTAGCTGTGGCTGGAGTGTGAGCCGGCAGCCTCTCAACGCAGCTGTGGTTGGAGGCCTGTGTTCCTCACCAGTGTGGGCCTGTCCCTGTGTTCCCTGAGCATCTTCGTGCCATGGTGGCTGCTTCCCCCAGAGCAGGTGGCCAGAGAGGCAGACAGATGGAAGCAACAGATTTTGTATAACCTCATTTCCGGGGGACTCCCCGTCCCTCGTGCGGTGTGCTCTGGAGCACTCAGGGCCGGGGTGGGAGCAATGGGGCAGGTGTGAGCACAGAGTTGGGAGGAGGCCCGCGTGCATGGGGCTTTCAGTGTCAACCTTCGACCCCTGTGTCGTTGCCTCCTGAGAGCATCGCCGCCCCGGGTATGGCCCTGACCACAGTGACAAATCCAGCCAGTTGGAAAAGTGATAACCATTTTATTTTCTTCTTATTAATGGTGGCTACATAAGATAATGGATTTACACTATAACTTGCTATAAGTTCTCAAGACTTGAGATGCAAAGAGAGTATTACAGCATTAACAGTTAAGTCTATAATCCCTTCTCCAAAACCCTTGGGGCCAGATGTTGTTTTTGTTTGTTTTCAGAATTCAGATTTTAAATATATATAAGAAAGGAATCTACCATATAATGTGTTACATTCCAGCAAGATCCGGACAGCACCCACAAACAGATCAATGTTTATACAGCCAAATTCATGACTGGTCACACTATATATAAATAAATGTAATCTTTTTTTTTTTTTTAAGATTTTATTTATTTGACAGAGAGAGACACAGTGAGAGAGGGAACACAAGCAGGGGGAGTGGGAGAGGGAGAAGCAGAATTCCCGTGGAACAGGGAGCCTGATGCAGGGCTCGATCCCAGGACCCTGGGATCATGACCTGAGCCTAAGGCAGACGCTCAATGACTAAGCCACCCAGGCACCCCTAAATGAATGTAATATTAAAATAAGCTCTGTAGTCAGCCTCCGATTAGCTCAGATTAGGTTTCCCACCGCATGAGTTTATATCAAGCTTACAAAAACACTTTCAGTTTTCAGGACTTTGGTTTTATGGAACGGCAGGTAAAGATGGGACCTGTAATGCAGGTATGCACAGGGCTGAGGTGGCCACCTCCCCAGGAGGGCCATGGTGAGGGGCCTCTGTCCCTGCTGACCCACCAGGTCTGCAGGAACCGGCAGGTGTGGCCTCCTTGAGGTCCTTGGTAAGAGGAAGGCCCTCCCAGGAATCCCAAGGGGCATCTGCTGTGTCAAGTGCCTCCTGCTGGCTTTCAAAAGAGTCCAGCTCATGTGAGAAGGTTCCAGAAGGACAGCCAGCCAAGAGAGACACAAGAAGTAATAGGGGCCCTATTGTCCGTCTCCGCAACCAGAAGCACAGATCTTCCAGAGCCGAACTTGACATGGCTTCATGACGTGAAGTCAGAGCCACACAGATATTCCCACCATGGCTCTGTCCTGCTCCCCCCAAAGAGGAAGACCCAGTCCTGTCAGCAGCCGGCTCACCGGGGAGCCTTGCCTCTCCTGAGGTCATGGAGAGTCAGACACGTCGCCGCCCAAGCCAGTGCTCTTTAGAAGAGGCCATGCCCGAGTGTGTGGCCTCAGTCAGCTGGGACCACAGTCCTCAGACTGTCCCCAGGCCCCTTTTGCTGGTCAAACAAAATAGCCCTGCTTTAATGTGTTAAGACTGGAGTGGTCGAGTATAACTTTTCTTTGAAAGGAACATTCCCAAAGTTCATTCTTAAAAGTGTTTAATCACTGAGGTGGCATTAATTTCTTCCATTCTATAAATGGCGCTATAATGGAGGTAAACGGGGTGCAGCCCTGCGCAGGCCCCACTGTGCGCCTACGGGTCACACTGTGTTCTCCATGTACCCAGGGCTGTTGTTCCCAGAAAATTCCTGTAAGGGAGAAGTTATTCTTGTGTCTACAGATGGAGACCGAGACTCAGAACGGTAAAAGAACGTGCTCGAGGTCACGCAGTTAATAGGGAGAGCAACAGAAGCCTCTGGCGGTGTGGATTTTTTATTCAGAGTAACAAAATTTACACAAAAATAAAACACAGCTTGTGTGGCACTGAAGCAAGCATGGAATTAGGATGAGCTACGCCGTCGGTAAGGTTGTGATCCAAGGACCTAGAAGAGCGCCCTTGGAAAAGTAAGGCGCATCTTCATGGCAACCGTGAGGAGCAGTGTGTGTCTAGTGAGAGAACCTGCAAAAGGCAGACAGGGCGCTGGGGGGCAGGTTCCCGGGGAGGCAGGAAGAGGAACCCCTGGTTCCCAGCCTGAGGTGCATTCCAGAATCCTCACAAGAGGCTTGAACTGGGACCGCTGAAGTTCTGCCACAGTTGGGTAAGCTCCACGACACGGTACGCGGTGTGCACACAGCACTGGGGGCCAGCACGGGAGTCATTACGGTGACACACTGGCCGCCTGCAGCCGAGGGCCCCGGAGGGAAGTCGGCCAGGAGTCTCCGAGCACGGGGCCTCTTGAGGCAGGTTCCTGTTCCGGCACAGATGAGGACTCGTATTTTCGTGGTCATGAGGTACTTGAGGTGCTCAACACAGTCATCTTTTGGCACTATTACTGAATTCTTAGTGTAAAAACACTAAATTGGGATTTGTTCAAGCAGCAACAAATGGAAACAGTCACAGTCTGTATCTTATATGAAGAAACCTCGGCAGTCTCTTTAGACCCGTGGTCTGAATATGGAAGCTCGGCAAGATTAAAATGTTTTTTAAGCAAAAACTAAAGAATAAAAAGGAATACTGAGAGCTTTAAATAGGTACGAACAATTCCCCAGTATTTCCAAGGGTTTTTTCTCATCCTTCTCCCTCTGAATGTTGCTGGTCCCTCCTTCAGGTGCTTCAGCTCTGAGACCAAACTAGAATGTGATTTTAAAGAAACTCACCTCACTTTTGTATCCCAGGCTTCTCTCGTGAAAATGCTTCTCTCGTGTCCCTTTGCTTTTCATGCAAATTATCCAGCAGTAAAGTGATGGGTGCAGAGGCCAGTGGCCTCGAGAATGCTACCCCTCAGCGGCTACCCCAGGATCTCCCCAGTCCACACACTTTCTACAGGGCTGTCCCCTTGTCCATCCGCGTGCGAAGCCTCACCAGAATGCTGTCCTGTAGGGTCCTCTGCACAGAACGGCAGTGCATTAAAGAGAGAATTCTCTGGAGGAAGCTACAGTGCAAAGTGGCAGCCCATGCCTTCCCCGTCAGAGGGCTCCTTGTCTTCCGGAGGCATGGACCAGGGAAGTGACGCCCCAGCCAGGGACTTTGACGGAGAGGTGAGTGGGGTGTGGGCGGCAGTGACGTCACGTCTGAAGTCCTGTGTTAAAAGGACTCGTGCACTTACCAAAGTGATGCCACCACCTCGAGAGTGGCCTCAGCTGCCACCAGGGGTCGGGACTCAGGGGCCTGCTCAGCCGGGAGCAAGGTTGGGGGGGCTGACATGGCTGGTTTCCTGGGCTACACCCTGCAGTTTTGCACAGATGTTCTAACAGCTTTTGTGTGACAGGGACCCACATTTCTAAAGGCCTGCAGAAAGGACTGAACATTTGCCGTATTCCGTGCCCTTTACTGGCCTCAGCAAAGGGGCTTCATTACTGACAGACCAGTCACACCAGCTTACTTGCTCAGGTGGCCGCAGGTCGCCTATGGGGAGCCTCCTGCACCTCTGCTTCTCATTAATGTCTTCTTGGGGCCCCACAGGACTCAGATTCCCCAAGGCACTCCACAGCTTCCAACAGCTCCAACCTAAGCAGCCCGCCCAGCCCAGTGTCGCCCCGGAAGACCAAGAGCCTCTCCTTGGAGAGCACCGACCGCGGGAGCTGGGACCCGTGAGCGGCTTCGGTGCTCGGAGTGGACGCCAGAGCAGCTTCTCCCTCTCAGCCCCCTCCACTGCCCTGTCTCCACATCCGTCCCCCGCCCCTGCCTGGAAGGCCCAGGGCCGGCAGCAGGAGCAGGGTGGGGGCTCAGGGACGCGGACGATTGCACCTACAGCCCCATGCCCCCCACATCCCCTGCGCCCCCTCGACGTAACAACCACCACCATCAAGGCAGACTTCCACTGAGCAGCTTCGATGAATATCGATTCCATTTCATACACTTAGAGTTGCTTCCCATCATCGTGTCCCCCTCCCTGAAGGTAGCTCAAGTAGACAGACCTCGCAGACATGCGCAGGAAGAACGTCAGGCAGACTGGTTTTCCACGGCAGAGTCTCAGCGCCCCGGGCAGCACATGGGTCCCCCCGCCGGCCCCCCGCCCTCCTCCAGCACCCACAGCCAATGTCGACCTGATCGTTGCCAGTAAATCCTTATTCACTAAAACAGTGCATATTTTACTACAATACAGATTTTAAATAAGTACACAAATGTAGAGGTTAAATACTGAATGTATATAGTAAAAAGCATCTTGTATTCAGCAAAAGATGGATTCCTATATAAGAGAGAGATCATTTAATTTAAAGAAATGTGTTGTTTCTCGTCTGTTTTCCCGCTAAGTAATTTAAAGGGTAGGAAGGCCTCAAGCTGACATTCTAGACCTTGGTAGACAGCTCAAAGAGTCAGAGTTCCCTTTCTGGTCGCAGCCACGGTCCCCAGGGGCTGCAGGAAAACATTTCGAAACCCGGTCTGACCGCTCTCAACTGCGGCCCAAGCACCAGACCCAGCCCAGGACGCCTCTTCAGCAGCAGCGTGAACAGGCAAATTTACTTCCAGATCTTTTGCTAGTGGTAGAATTCGAACCACACTCCTCAGTTTTACTGTATTTTGGTCTCTTCTGCAAATGAATGTAGAAATGTGGTCTCGTCACCTCCTGAGTCCTTCCTTTGAAAGCACGCAAGCGGTGTCATGGCTTCTGAAGGTCCCTAAAAAGGTTCCTAGACGTGCTTTCCTCCTGGGCTAACCCTGTTCCTCCCTGCATTGCCACGAGGTATTCTTGGCCAGGGCACCCCCTCAGAGAAGCCCGAGAGTTTAATTACCAAATAATAGAAAACCTCAAATGCAAGGACTTGCACAGCCTTAACCAAATACTCTTCCCCGCCCCCGGTGGAAAACAGAATCGTAGGGCCTGCCAGGCAGGTGCCCCGGCGGCACTCCTGCTGTTCCCACCAACACCGGGAAGCGAGTGCGCACCCCGGAGGGCTGGAGTCCTTCACAGTTAGTTCCTCAGTTAAGCACATGAGCAGAGAAAGAAATAAAAATATCTCATGGAAGTAAAGAGAATCTGGCTCTCTTCATTTTTATCTAAATTTCTCTGAGAACTAGCGACGAGAGTTCCTCCTCTCTCTCAGCTTCGGCGAGCGTGGAGTCCGAGTGGCAGTGTCCGAGCTCCGTGGCCGCCCCGGGGCGTCCGGCCAGTGCTGCTCTGAGAAGGCGCCCGAGGCTCGGTGAGGGGAGAGGGGGCCCGCGGGGGCCGCCTGCGCACGCGCATGCTGGCCGGGCCCCTCTCCGTCGTTCTGCTTTGGGGAAAGAAGTGTTGTTGTGTGAGATGCCCCTGTTCGTCCAGATGCCCGGGCTCAGACTTTTGAGTTTGGTCCCTGCCCTGTGACCCAGTAGCCCCATCCATGAACTTGGCGTTCCCCTGAGGGGCGGGAAGCCACCGGCCAGCAGCCGCTGAGGGCCTGCCGCCAGCTGCCTCCGGTCCTCCTGACCCTTCCCCGCCCCCGGCCCCTCGCCTCTGCCCTCCTGCTTCCCAGCTGTGAGTCACGGGACTCCGCACGAAGCCATTTGTTGAAGCTTCGACAACTACGTGTGAATTTATGTTGCCTGTAGGTGCTTATTTTTTAAAGGATGCTTTTAGGATCCAAGTGTCACCCTGCCTGAGGTCCGGACAACACCGCGGTGAGTCACGGCAGGGCAGAGGAGAGAGCCCCCGAAGGCGGTAATGACCCAGGGACCTGCCCCCCGGCACTTTCTGGTCAGTCCCCAGCGATCTTAAGTTATAGTAGAGCAGTGCCGGATAGGACCGATCCTGACAGCGAGAGTTTGGGGGAGAAACGCTGCCACGGGGAACAGTTTAAGGGGGCGGTTCTTCCTAAGATAACGATCCTTCTCCTGGGCTTACCCCCCTCTCAGATACGAAGCAGTTACCAGCAGAAGCTTCTGAGAAGAAGAATCTGAAAAGGCAGAGAATGGGTTCTAGGGAAACAGAAAACCTACACAGGTAGGTGCAAAGACCAGGGAGGGGGTTATTGCTGCCCGAAGTCCTGCTCGGTTCTCTTGCAGGACCTTTTAAAATCGCACCTGGCAGTAGGCACGCATTTCACAGTAGGAATGACAGATCAGTGAGGCATTTCTAGAATAGTCTGTATGTATTGGTATTTTGGTGCTATCTATGTCCAGCCAATTTGTTGTCTACCCTTGAATTCTAACTAGTCTTGTGTGCTCTGGGTATATAAAAATTATATATATATATATATTTCTTATTGCCAAAAACAAAAGCCTTCCTCCTGGTCAAATGCTCACTAAAGCAGATTTCACTTTTGTAGTTCTGGGACACACGCACACCCCTACGTCAGCGAAGCACGCTCGTTCCTGGAACCATGGTTGGAAGGCTTGGGGCTGGAGCTGGAAGGGCCCCTCAGTTCAGTTTCCCACATGGTTCTCGTACCCAGGCTTCTGGGAAGAATCTGAAATTCTGTTATGTTTACAGCAACAATCTGTCATTCCTCTGCCTTCCTTATGGTTAGAGTCCTGTCATTTTGTTAGTGGCCACATCGACTTCCGTGAAAGACCCGCTGCATTTCTGTGTGCTCTTGGGTCTCACTCCAGAAGAGCCAGGGAGGGCGCAGCAGGCACCCTGAACACGGGGTACGGCAGGGCTGTCTGTCCGTCCGTGGCAGCAGTCTCACAGACTGGGCAGACAAGGAAATAGTCGGGCCCTCCACTCCCCCGGCTCCCTGGCCCAGCCCCTGAGTTAGTAGGTAAGCTGCATGACCGTTCATTGCGCCCGTTAGACCTCTTTCATTGTTCTGACTTCAGTTATCACTCAAGTCCAGATTCTCGGCAGAGTCCGGCTGGGTAGGAGGGCTGGCTTCCACTGGAGCCGTCGGCCACCCAGCGAGCCGGCCTGCCTCCCTTCCCAGGGACAAGCGCTACACACGAGGAGCCACGTCACTTACAGGGGCGAAGGAGGAGAACAAACCTGGAAACTTTCATGAAAACAAAATGACCTTTTTATTTGATAGTGTACTATCATTTATTTTATAAATCTTTTAGGGTTTTTTTCTCACTGTAATAGTGTAGAGTTTTGCATGGCCTAGGTGTAATCATTTTTTTTTTTTGTTTAGAATATAATGCTGGCAAATGTGTGTATGGAGGGGAAAAAGGTACTGCTTTGGCCTCTATTTCCTTTGGTTTTATGCCCTCAATGTCTTAGAGAGGTTTATAAGCAATTCTCTGCTACCAGACGGTGGTGTAGATTCTTTTGCACAGAAATATTTAAGGTGGGATAGTCAAAAATGTAACAAGACTCCTCGCCAGTATTTTATGTTGGTATCACGTAATATTAACCAGAATTTGATGTATTGCAATAAAACAGGGAGCCTAGACCTGACGGTCCTGTCTTTCTTTCCCTGATTGAAAGGTCTGAGCAGTGGAGGAAAGGTGACTGACTCTCCTCGTCTTCCTAGATCCTGCTTCCTGCCGGTCCCCTTCCTGGTCCAGGCGCCCACCTTAGCCTGCAGAAGGATGCAGGATTAGTTTAACCAGGGACTTTTCCTAGTTCCGCCCCGTAGCTCAGGTAAGGGTACATTCCGTTCTCTTCCGGCTAGCACTTCCAGAACACGTGTCAGGCCATGGGTGAGGCCAGGCCCTGCCGCAGCCTTCCGTGGCCTGCTCTGTGTGCACCTGCCCCGCAGGGTACCCTCTGCGCAGCCAGACCCACCCCCCCCACCCACCGGCTGTCACAGCTGTACAAACCAGGCAGCCGGCTGGTTTTCTGTCTGCTGTTTGCAGGGCAGCGGCAGATCCTTCGGGCAGGTTAGTGCCTCTGCTCCTGTCCCTGCCTTGGTTAGAACAGCCCACCTGGGGACGCCCAGCCAGCCCCGCGGTCTCTTACCGGAGGAAATCTGAAGCTGGCTGCGCCTCATTATCCTGAGGCCCCTCCCTGGTTCCGTTGCTCGTGCAGTTTACCTTCCTCACTGTTCTGGGCGGGTCTCCGCATTGTAACGTCCGCCCCTCCAGAGAGACCTGGCACAGTGGGTAAGAGCGAGGCTTGGCCAGCTTTCCGTAAGGGGCCAGTGAAAACTTCTACTCTGTGGCCACCATTGTTGCCCCAGATGGCCTTAGCGCGGGTACGAATGCGCACAGCTGCGTCCCCAGACGACGACTTCCACACAGGCAGAGGCCCCGACATGGCCCATGGCCCGTGCACCACAGCTTGCCGGCCCTTGGGGAGCGGGGAGGGAGAGCGGGCCGCATGGCTGCCCTCGTTCCAGATCCTGACCTTCAGCAGCCACGTGGGCTCTGAGCCGGTTCGTCCTATACCCTGCCTGCCCTAAATGTCCCAGAAAGCAGTGCATAAATGCAGAATATATGTTTAAAAAAAATGCACCAAAACAGCCTTCAGAAGGGCCGCGACAGCTCTGACAGGGCTCGGAGCAGGTGGTGCCGGGCGCCAGGCCCCTAGCTGCCGTCACCGAGACCAGCCAGACCTCCATCCCGTCCTGGAGCAGTCTGCCTGTGTCCTTCATCATCTGGTGCCCCTGTCACGGTACCGGGCTGCGAGGGGGCCCCACGGCCGTGCTCCCAGATGCCCACACCTAGGAATTCAGTTTGCCGTGGGAAAAGCCACAGGCCAGGAGGCTTCCCTCAGCAGCAGCCTGGCCCCCTGGGGTGCAAGCTAGGCAGACCCTGCTGGCAGGGGTCACTGCCCCCCCACCCCCACCCAGTTGGCTCTTCTGCATGCGTGGTGTGTGCAGGGGGCACGCGGCTTCCCCCTCCCCCCACCCCCCTCCAGTGATGGATTTGGGTTGAGCGTTCAGGTGCATCTGGAGGTGGCCTAGGGTGTGACACTGACCTCGGGCTGATCAACCATCAGCTCGGTGCCTATTACGTGTAG